TAACTACTTGTAATTACTAAGTAAGGATTTTATTTCAGTCCCAAGAGTGATTAACATCTAATGTCTCCCTATACATTAGTCGTTACGCGGAGGGGGAGCGGGGGCTGCAGGGATGGGTACTCCCTATAATAGCCTATATGGGGAGGCTCCATCCGAAAGGGGAACCTTTTTCGGGTTTTAGGTGTATAAAAGGGCAGGGATTTTACAAGTTGAGGTATACGAAAGGGTAGGCAAATCTGTCATTTAGTTATTTTAAAGGGCTTTTAATTAAGATATTTCGAACAGACGCACCTTATGTCTGTGTCATTTCATTTATTAGGCTCTACTTGAAAATGACAAGACGACTTCCATTTTTGGCGACTACAATACGGACCAGTTATGAAAGTATGCGAAAGGGGTACCGTTTGTTAATATTTCGATACTTCTAAAAGACAACNTCCCTATAATAGCCTATATGGGGAGGCTCCATCCGAAAGGGGAACCTTTTTCGGGTTTTAGGTGTATAAAAGGGCAGGGATTTTACAAGTTTAGGTATACGAAAAGGTAGGCAAATCTGTCATTTAGTTATTTTAAAGGGCCTTTAATTAAGATATTTCGAACAGACGCACCTTATGTCTGTGTCATTTCATTTATTAGGCACTAGCTACATGAAAATGGCAAGATGACTTCCTTTTTTTGGCGACTACAATACGGACCAGTTATGAAAGTATGCGAAAGGGGTACCGTTTGTTAATATTTCGATACTTCTAAAAGACAACTTTTATTAGTATTTCCTTGCAAGTTAACTATCACTGAAACAAATCTATGTCTATTTGTAAGAAGAGTTGATCTTTCGATCTCGGTTCATCTTTTAAGACTTTTGATTTTCATCCTCTCGTTTTTCAAACAGCTGTTTTGTCATAATCTCAATGGGTTTATTAGTGGCAGAATCTTTCAGCTTGGCCGCAAGTGCATCAGAAAAAAAATCGCCATGTGTGTAACAACGAAAGTTGTTGTCTTGGCCAAGAATTATCTCTTGCACAATGGCTGCTATTTTACTGGAATCCATGATTTTCGTAATGCACAAATGTTGATAATTTTCGCGCCAGATCTTTTCCAGTTTCTTCGTTTCTTCGTCAACCGTTTCGTGGTCTATGGCTTTACCCCAGTCTTCTGCAGTTTTAGGGGCCTGGGTCACCACGGGACCTGTT